AGAGAGAGAGAGAGAGAGAGAGAGAGAGAGAGTTTCTCACCTCCATCTGATCTTGCACGAAGTAGTTAAATAAGTAATTGTTTATATTTCCTCTCGAGTTTGAATAAAAGCGGAAAAATAAATAGATAAAAACTACGTTTAAAAGTCCACTTATCCAAATGCTTCTCATGCAAATTATATTTATTTAATGGATCGTGTCATCGATGAAACAAGAAGATAAGGAAGGAAGGAAATTTCAATTTCCCGAATTGCACGATATTTACAATTTGACGAGCAAATTGTCCTTAAATGCGTTCGATCGAAACTAGATTACAGTGGAATAGCGTGAAGGCACGGGAGGCACGCGAGAGACCCCGTCGAGAGACTCGAAGGAAGCACAATAACCATCGGATTCGGTTTCTAATCAAAAACGATGAAATCGTTGCGTGTTATATTGATCAATCGATCCGTAACCATAGCTTCTATCGTCTTGGGTGCGATCAATTTGCATTCACCCTTCTCCCTGCCTATAATTAGAGCCAAGGAAAACACATTTTCTAACGTGCTCCTCGCCAAACAATCAATCAACACACATCGATCATCTAATCTCTCTCTCTCTCTCTCTCTCTCTCTAAGAATTAGAGGAGAAGCCAATTTTTCTAACTCAAATTCGATCAATAAGATATTAATTATTTCTCGAAAAGAGGAGAACGTGTTTTAAATTAAAAAATGAAAAAAAGAAAGGGAAAGAATTACAAACGGGTATGAGTTGGATCGTTGGTTGCGCAACTTACCAGGAAATGGTAAAAGGAAGAATTTTTCTTTCTTCATTTCTCCAACCGGAAGAGAAGGAATAAAACGCGTATTTATAAGTTATAAGAACGAACGGATCGAGACACTAGGCCGATCTGACCGATTCTGAACTGACTCTGCTCGCGAATTTCAGACGGATGTCCGGGGAGCGCAGCCTCTCGCCAAGCGCGAAACCTCGAATGGATCACGGGAGCGGCGTGAGCGTCGACGTCGGCGTTGGCGCCGACAGACAAGGCGCCGTCAAGCTTCGTGGCGGCGCGACGTTCATGAAAAGTGTCTCGATCTTCTTGATGAGCGGTCGTAAAGCGTCGGTGAACAGCAACAGGCAGACGAGCTCGGCCAGCCCGAAGCACGAGCCTCGAAGGAGGCATCATCGCGGAAGGATGCCGGTGCCCGCCACCGCCAGCAGAACCTCCGTCTACACGGTCAAGCTGATCGAGTCGTTGAAGAGGAAAACTAGATTCTCATGGCGAGTGAAAATCGATTTCTCATTATTTCGTTCAACGTGCACGGTTCTTCGATCTTTCGAAAGAAATTTTCTTTCTCGAGTATTTTTCTTTCTTTCTTTCTTTCTTTCTTCCTTTTTACAATAATAAATTTTCGTACGTTTTAATATTTTTTTTTTTGTTCCAGGTCGGAATTGGATAATCTGTGCAAACTGTACAAGAAGCTAATCAATCCGGGACAGCAACAAGTAGGGCAATCGGTTATTATCGGGAGGAGGTCTCAACCGAATCAAATTATAGAGGTAGAACGACGTTAGAATTGTAGGGATTAAGTCTTGTTCCTCCGCGTAAGTCTGTCGTTTCTTTTAAGATTGTCGTGCAATCTATCCTCGTTGTTCCCGTTTCAATCTCCATATATAATTACGCTAGAGAGACGAAGAGTTATTATTTATTAGAGAATTAGAGAATATTTTTCGAACTTACTTGACGCGAAATGTTTTCTCAGGGTATCGACAGGGCCATTTTCCGCGAGTTACTGCACAACACGTTTAAAGTGATCACGGAGGACACGTTGGTGGAGCGTATATTTTGTTGCTGGGATCGTGAGAACGAGGGAATAATTAGACTGGAACCATGGATCGTGGGTCTGGATCTGTATCTTCGGGGCAGCCTACGGGAGAAAATTGAATTTTGCTTCAAAGTGTACGACTTGAACAACGATGGATTCATTACGAAGGATGAAATATTTCAATTGTTCAAGTAAGATGTAAAATGATTTTTTTTGGTATTTGAAATTCACTCACTGTTTTTGAACGAGGCAAGTAATGAATAATAATTAACAATTTGTATTCGACGCGCGTAGAAATTGTTTAATAAAGCAACCGGGAGAAGAGGATCCTGACGAGGCGGTGAAAGATTTGTCCGAGCTGGCGTTGAAGAAACTCGACGTGGATCGGGATGGGAAAATATCATTTCAGGATTACAAATTGGGTGTAACGGAGGAGCCATTGCTGTTGGAAGCTTTCGGCCAGTGTCTATCCACGGAGGAGAACTGCGCTTCTATCCTGGCCACGTTAAGATCGTGAAGCGAATATGGCGAATGTGGATCCAGGGAAGGATGTTTCGCTGGAAAAAGATAAACAGATCTTTTGTTAATTATTAGTAGCCAAGATTGAAAATGCACTCAAAGGATTTGTAATCATGGCACCTGCCGTTTATTAAAAACAATTCGATAGTAATCGTAATTACAAACAATAATAATATTAATAATATAATAATAATAATATAATATAATATAATATAATATAATAATAATAGCATAATTACAAAATACGCTCGATCTGGTTTTCTTATAGCGTGTTTGCTGAATCAGTCTTAACCCTCGGATTACCAAGCATCGATTTCAATCACTCTTCGATTCTTCCTATTTTTCTTTTTTTCTTTTTTCCCTTTTTTTTCTTTTCTTTTTTTTTTTTTTCTTTTTCTTAACTCTATTATCTATTATTACATTCGTTCTCGATCTTTCTCGATCTCGATCTCTTATCTTGAAAAATATTCGATCGAACGTGCTCGATCTTCGATCGATAACCCGAAGGCTAATTTAAACTATGAAACGTTCTAGAGGTATGTTACAGTGATGCAAAGGGGGTTTCTTCTTTTATTTTGTAAATCGAAAAAATTGACTTCTCTGCACGCGCAACAAAATATCGGCTCTCGTCGTCGCGGTACTTCCGGTTTCAGGGACCCGTGCCGCGACCTCAAGGTTCCATCTTTTCACACGGACACACTCGTGTACCTTTTTCTTTTCTATGTATATATATCTCTTCTTCTTCTTCTTCGTTTATTTTTATATATTTATTCATATATATATATATACTCTGTTATATATATATTCTGTAATAATTAATATACACGCACGCGCTCGCGCGTTCACAGGTTGCATCGCGAATCGATTGCGGCTTCTTTGTACGATATAAATCACTGGAGCAGGGGTTGAAAGATTCAATTGTACCGAAGGCGATCGGATTTTTAACGAATAATTTTATTTCTTCCGAATATAGAAGAGAAAAAGAGAGATTATCCTCGGGTCAAAGGGGAGGGAAGGGGAGAAATTATCTCAATTCAGCTTCAAAGCTGATGTTTGTACATCGATTTCTTTGTGCTCTAACAATTGTATATACGTATATAATATATTTTTGTCCCGGACATTATCGCGATCAAAACGCTTGCATGTAAAAAAGAAAAGGACGATGAGAATCGTAAGTTTATTCGGAAAAATCCGATATCCGCCCGAAGAATGTAATAATAATAATAATAATAATAATAATATTATTATTTTAAACGTGTGTAAATCTTACGTATTTATATATGTATATATATATATATATAGTCGTGAATCCCGATTTCCGATGTACCCTGTGAACACCGGTGTTCGTAAACGCGCTCCACGGAAACGATCGGGACTTTTATGCGCGAATAAAAAATAAACGATCCACGTTCGTTTCGTCAGAGTGCTGAGATCTGCTGAGGGTGTGTCGAATGACATTTTATCGACGACTGTGACGTGAAACTAGCAGTCAGATAAAATACTATTTCGTCTTTTACGTACATATGTATAACATATATATTTGTGTATATATATATATATCATACGTATATTAATTCATCAAAGTGGGAATGACGTTTTCTTCGTTTCTCTACTTCTCTCTCTCTCTCTCTCTCTGTTTCTTCCTTCTTTTTCCTCATCGTCTCTACGTGTTTTTGCATTTATAATCCTCGTTTCTCTATCTTGTAATAACTTTTTTATTATTATTATTATTTTTTTCTTCTTCTTTTCTTTTTTAAACATTGACCATCTCGTAAATATACTCCTTTTTTATACTGTTTTTTTTCCTATTTTTTTCTTCTTCTTTTTTATTTTGTCCTGTTTTTATCTACTTATTCTTTTCCGCTACTGGTAGCTTTACTACTTACTTAGAGCGTTTCTTTTTTTTTTTTTCTTTTTCTTTTTCCTTTTTTAACTCCAAGAGATTCTACGACGAAGAGAAAGTGTGTGTGTGTGTGTGTGTGTGTGTTGCAGCACTCTTGAAACGATATATTTAGCCCTTTGAAATTCCTAATATCAACTCGCGGCGACTTCCAACCGTCAAAATAGTATCTTACCCACTTCTAGAAACTAGACAACAAAGGTTCGAGGAGGATTTTTTTTCTTCCGGTTTCTTTCTTTCTTTCTTTTTTTTCTTTCTTTCTTTTCTTTTTTTTTTTTTATTTATTTTTTAGGCACTTAAACGTCGGGAGTTAAATATGGGAACCTTAAGGTGGAGGTCCATCGAACGCCTGCTATTTGCTATTTACAGTCTTGATTGAGACGCGTGTTACATCTTCCAAGAGGAATCGTGTTGTCGACGAACGGCACATTCCCGTATCATTCTCGTGAAAATTTTGGGAACTTGATCAATTAATCGAAAAGAAGAAAAAAAAAAAAAAAGAAAAAGAAAATTGCATTTGTTCCGAATGCGAAATGCAAAAGGTCCAAAGTTAGAAATGAAAATTACCAAAAAAAGAAAAGAAAAGAAAAAAAAACCTAAGAAATGAGTAACCAATGCGAGAAAGTAATTTCCTAAAGTAATTTCGATATCGTTTCACGATTATTTCTCACGAGCGATAACGCGAAATGCCGATCGTCCCGATGGAAAAGTAACTGCATGTACTACACTATAATAATATCTAGCTAAAAGAAAAAAAAAAAAAAAAAAAAAAAAAAAAAAACAAGCACAAAGGAAAAAAAAAAGAAAACAAAGGATAAAAACAGACGTACCGAGAACTTAACAACATTTAAGAAATTATTCTGCGTATGCCCGACTAACGATTAAAGGCCGGGCACACGTAGAATTCGTGTCACAATTAAACGCATACACGGATACACGCACCCACTCATATATCGGCATCGTGCACTATATCAAAATACACTTACGTCTTCTACAGAGTAATCGGTTCTTTTTTTTTTTTCTTTTCCTTTCTATATAATATATATATATATATAATATATAGATATATATTATGTATAAATAAAAAAAAAAAATCAAAGCGCATATTCGCAACGCGACGATTCGCGCGAATTATCAATTAATTAGCAATATTCGATAAACAAGGATCGATATATCCGATTACGATAAATCATAATAATAATAATAATAATAATAGTAGTAGTAGTAGTAATAGTAGTAAGGATAATATTAATAAAACGAAAAAAAAAAATTTAATAATAATCATTAGTACAATATATGTATACATAAAAATGGCATTATATTCTTCTTTTCTTCTTCTTCTTCTTCTTCTTCTTCTTCTTCTTATTCGTCGTTTATCATATTCCCTGCTCTTCGTTAACTTTTAATCCTTCCTTCTTATTACACGCCTGATACACACACACGTATATACGTTACGTGAATAGTTGGAATAGTCGGAGGCAACTTTAACATTTTTCACGGCATGAAGATTTTTTTTACAAGGAAAGAAATTTTTATTCGATAAAAATTGTCTTGTTAAAAGGTATAGAGATCGATCTAACGATGAGATTCAAAGATTCGATTCGCGAGAAGAGACTGGAGATTGAAATATTAGGCAAAGAATAATTAAAGAAGCACGATTAAAACTGATTGGAGAGGTAAAAAAAAAGAAAAGAAGAAATAAAATATAAAAATTCGTTCGCAGAATGATAAAATTGCTCCGACAAAGGGATTCTTAAAACATCCATTATATACTCCGCAATGACGTGCGAGTACACGCGAGCACGTCGAAAATTAAAGACTAGCAATTATGGTTCTCTTATAGAACTACATCGTAATTAGGTAAAACCGTAGTGTCCGCTCCCGCGGCCGATTATCCTACAAGTATATTACTGATAAATTCTTTTCTTTACTAAAATATAATTATTATTGGTATTTCTGTGTTCCGCCAGTGATCGTTTCATTTTTTTTTTTTTTTCTTTTTATTCTTTTACCCTCTTAAATAAAACGTTAATCCATTCGACGAAACTGTGAAGAATTACAGGCAACGATGCACAACGTTACAACGTTAACATTAATTACGTAATTCGTTTATAATAAATGCTGAGAAAAAAGGCGAGAAGTGATCGATATGAGAAATGGGACGTTTGCAATTTATATTATTCGTCGTTTAGAAGTACTTTTTTTGAATTAAGCAAAAGTTAAGTAATCAAAAGTAAAGTGGAGTAAAGTGATTACGTGAAAAATGATGTTTCTTCTAAGGAAACAAGTATTAGACCTTAGGACGATGTTTCCTAAAGCCTTGAGCGTGATTCTTGATTAATCGCATCGTGAAGAATAACACGATTAGTAAAATCTTGGCGGTTGATTCGATTAATAGTTCATCGAAACTGGATAGTATATTGGCAGTAGCAGGTAAGAGGGCAGTGTTTCATTCGCAGTGTCATCATTGTCATCGTTAATCCTCACAGTGACGCGATTAGCACTTTCTTCACGATAGACGATAGACGAATGATTCGGGAGGCGAGGGACACGATCAGAATAAAAATTCTCCATCTCGCTGTATTTAAAATCTTCGTCGATATCAAATATTAAAGTGGATAAAATTGGATCGTAATTTTGCGATTTTGCAAAGAATCATTCGGCTATCCCGGATACACTGACTGGCGGAACACACGGAATAAAGATTGAGACTCTGTCGCTCCACGCCATGATTATTTTAGCAATTATTGTACTTTCCTATATGTACAGCTCTATCGTACACATAATATACAGTAATGTATACAGTATATCGAGCACTGAAAGGCAAACGCACAAGTACACACCATTATTCATCGAGGTCTAACTCTCTCCTCCCTTCTCCTACCCTTCTCCAAAAAAGGAACGAAATAAGACAGAATAAAATTCTTTCACCCTCATACGTTCGTGATGCGTTCAAAAAATTATGTGTGCTCATTTACATAATCGCATTTATCCTCGCCAAATCGTTTCATCATCGAATACAAAGAACTGAGATTGCGTCTTTCCGATTTTTTGCGGATTTCCTCGCGAGAATATGGACGCGTGTGTCGTCGTCGTCGTCGTCGTAATTGTTTCCCTTCCAGATTCATTCGCAAGAAAAATATGTCTGCGACGGACGCGTGGTTCGTTCGTTGGAGAAAGGATGAAAAAAAAGAAAAAGAAAAAATACGATTAAAAATAATTCGAACGGGCATAAAATTTGTGAAACGTACACGGCTTATAACAAAGGCCTTGCTTAAAACTTTGTTGTCGATTAAATACACCATCGAGAGACGACGAATCGACTCTTTCCCTCCGATAGGAGGGAAAAAAATATATGGAAATTCGTTAACATTCGCAGCAACGATGAAGCAAGAAGTAAGTTTTAACCCTTCCTCTTGGCACTAGGTTGCACCAGGCAACATGCGTGAATATTCTGCGCATAAAACTGCATGCAAACACTCTAATAAATCTATTAAACGTCTACGTTGTTTCGTGGGGATAAATCTTGGAACTTTTAAAACAGCTTCGCAATTCTAAGAGAGACTCTCGAAAACTCTTCTGCCAAGACTAGGGTTAAAAACGCTTCCCATCCACTTCATCCATCTCCGAACCATGTCTCGCAAGTGAAACGATTATCTCGATTAAATTGTACGTAGATATTTCTCGTTCCTTCGTATAATTAATAATAAAAACTATAATAAACACTTTCTTCTCGATTTTTATCGTCCACGCGATAAACCTCGCTTCGACAAACACAGAACACGAGCAGCATGTTGCGTAAAGCAATGATATCCAGAGCAATCCTAATTTTTCCTTGCAAAAATATTGTCATCGCTCGTCTCATCTTGCTCCGTCCACCAATAATAGCTCGGTGTCACGATCGATTATATATATATATATATATCGTCGATCGTCGAGCGAGAAATATCGCGATTTAATTTTACATATGTGGCGATGGTGGTTGTAAGGAAGAAAGAAGAAAACGAAAATACACCCTGGGATCGTTCACATTTTCATTTTCGTTCCTCCATCGAGAGGTGGACGAGCGAAAAATAGAATGGAAAATCGTTGAATCGATGGATCGAACCGAACGATGATACACGAGTCGAGAGAGAAACTGATACTCGAGAAATGAATCGCGTCAAAGGGTGGAAATTGGCTCTATTTTTTAATTACGTGCTGTTCTATATATATATATGCATATATATATACGACTTGTGATCGATTAAAATATAGATTATGTGTCGCTTCGAATACAAAAATACAATTCTCGATGGAGATCAACGGGCGCACGGAAGGCCGTATCCGCCCCTGTGCAATCCTTTCTCAATTGCATCGTCAATGATTTACTTGTACGACTCGTACACGCACTCGTACGCACACACACATACGATACATATAATGTGTATATACATATATATAACTCGTTCAACCCTTTCGATGCGTGGATAGTTTATCCTGTGCGAAACATGAGAAACTACCCTTGACAATGAAAGGGATAGATATACGTTCTATCATAGTCCAGAAGAAATTCTGAAGTTTTTTTTTTTCTTTTCCTCTTGATATCTCTCTAAATGAACGATAGAAAGAAAACAGCTTTACGTGAGTACCCCTCTTTGTGTCAAAATGATCTTCTGGACTGGGAATAGATCGTTTATTAGTCCGAAAGCTCGTTCAGAGCTGATGTTATATATGTTATATAATATGTATATATATATATTTATGTATCTTTTTTTTCCCTTTTGGAATTTCGAAGAAACAATTGGCTCTTGTATATATATGTCGTTTAATAGATTTTCTAGAACAACTTTTCTGTTGGAGCATAAAAAAAAAAGAAAATAATAATAAAAGGTTTCAAGAATGTTTTGAAATTTAAAATTAAAATTCTTCAAAGATATAACTTTTCGATCAAGTCGAACAAGGAAGTTTGGAATTAGAAAATTATTTGATTTTTCGTTTAATCAACCAGAGTTATTTTTCTTTTCATCTTCTTAATTTTCCATTAAACTCTGATTTTCTTATCTTCTAGCCAAATGTTCTTCGAGGCAAACTCAAAACGATGTGTAATATATTAGCAATGCCCCTGAATCGAATAATTCGCGAATTTCATAGCGCATACCCTATAAACACTTTTAATTTTTTTCACTTTCTTCCTTCTTTTTTTCCTTCTCTGGAATAACTTTTTAACATTCTTTCCTTTCTCTCGTTTCGCTGCATTACACACAGGTTACATCTCCAACTCTTTGATTATAAAATTCGCGTAAGCAATTTACTTACTTGTCGATTTAGAAAATATATCCTACTTCGATTAAAAATTAATTCGACGATTTCCAGATTTCGTTAAAACTATTATATCGGTTAATCGTTTAAAATTTAATAAAAGAGATATAGATATATATATATATATCGGACAAAGAGGTTTAATGGTTTGATCGAATCGGCCATTCAACAGGATTCAAAAAACGATGAACGCTCGAAGCACTAAAAGCACAGGCGGCAGACGCGCATACATCGACAAGTGTCCCACGAGAGTGTAAAGTGTATCATATTAAAATACAGCTGTTCAATCTTTTCATTTCTTTTCCCCTCTCTCCGTTTTAATTTTACAATTTTCTCTTTCTTATTTCCTCCCACTTCGTCCTCCGCCCCTTTTTTTTTTATTCATCCTCGCTTTCTCTCTTCTCCCCTCTCCCCCAGCTTCTCTCCCTGTATCGTATCAATATTTATCTTTTTTCTCTCCTCCCCCCTTTTTATCTCTCGACTTTTTTTCATCGTCAAATCGTCTAAAAAATATGTCCTATGTTATATTTCTCCTCTTATTTTCTCCCCCACTCGCTCTCAGATTCTTCCCTCTCTTTTTTTATTTTTTAATCATACCCTTATGATCTTCCATTCCTTCATCGTTCATTTTTTTCTTTTCTTTTTTTTTTTTGTTCAAACAACAAAACGAATATTACCGACACGCATGCACACACATCGCAAATCGCTTGTACAAGATTGCCTACGGCTAGGGTGTAGAATGCAGAATGAAACACGGACGGTAGTGCCTAAGAGAAGCTCGCCCAAGATCCGAGAATCTCGCGTGCCGGGAGAATATATGTATATATATATATACGCTGGCTGCGTTTCCGTGTCCGTGTCGATCGTTTTCCAATTTTTCCTCCCCCCTCTTTTCCCAGACGAAAATCGTGTCGAGACCACCTCCGCTCCGTTACTTCCTCTTCTTTCTTTCCTCGTCGTGTACTCGTCGCGTGCAATTCGTTTCGCTTACAATTTCAAATCGTTGTTCCTCGATGCCGAATCAGGAAGACATCTTCTCCGCATCATTCGCGTCTCCAATATATATATATATATACCGTGTATCGTTCGCTCAAAGAAAAAATCAAAATCGTTGATTATCGATCCGTTCGCCTTCCTTAACCATTACACCTATTCTCTCCTCCTTCTTCCCCCATGTAACACGATTCGAAATCTCGGCACAACCCCTTTCCGTGGAAATTATACAAAAACATTTCCACGAAGGCCTTAGCACCGCACGTGTCCGTTCATCCAACAGTCCGTCATCCCGATCGTCCTGGACTCTCCCTCTCGTGGCCGATCGACGCGAGCACCAGTGTCGTACAAGGGATCGAACCTCTCGGATATTCTTCCCTTCTTCTCCTTCTCTTCCTCGCTTCGTCGTCGAAAGGGGTTTTCTCCCTTTTGGTTGGTGGTTTCCATAAAAAAAACGAAAAGGAACCCTCCTCTTTCTCCTCTTCCTCCTCCTTCTCCTTCTCTGCCCCCCAAAAACGTGACACGCGAAGATCGACGTCGACCGACCGGTCTCAAGCTACTGGCACCGAGTTCTCGTCAGTTAGGAACGCCTCGTTACGCCTTTGTCCCGGTTTTACGACGCTATATTCAGGCCTCCGCTTCATGAGATACCATCGAAGTCGGCCGGGACCCTTTCACAAATAGTCGTTGTCCACCGCCTGCGCATCCTGCGACTTCAGGGTGGCCATCTCCTCCACCGTGCCCTCTTCCGCTTCCTGCTCCTCAACGAAGCTGATGCTCCCGGCCTTGTACCACACCACTATGTCCACCACGAACGCGAGAATCAGGATTCCACCCGTGGTACCTGGATTACATCCGTGCAACGATTGAAAGATAGATCTCGTTCGATCGAAAAATTATATAATTAGATATATATATATATAACGAAGAGGTTAAATTTCTAATAACAACGTGTTCAACGGGAACGATTCATCTGTCCGGAGATATAAATAATATCGGAGAAGAGAGAAATTTAGCCTCGGTATATATATATATATATGTGTGTGTGTAACAGCAGGCAAGAGCGAGCAGTAGTAAGTCGGATAATCGAGATGCAGATATTTCCGACTTCTCCTCGCCGCAGATTTCTTCTTAACCGCGGTACGTACCATGATAGAACATTCTAAAGACATTCGAGTCGTAAAGCCAGCAGGCACCTCGCTCGCCGCAAGCGTATTCCCATACGAGACAAGCGGAGTCCACCACAGCACCATAAACGATTGGACACGGGACGTTACCTGGAACCAACCGGCCAACGGATCATCCGCCTGATAAATTCATCTCGTGAAATTCTCCTCTGATTCCTTTCCCATCCGAATCGCGAGGAAATTGGAAAGATTTCGCCCCTCGAGATCGCCATCTCGAGAGACGATGATAGAGGAGGGAGGGAGACGGAAGGCATAATTACCGAAGAGGCCGATGGCGAATTGTATGAGGCCCAAAGCCATCGCCTTGTCCCGTGGATCCACGCACCTGAGGATCAACAGCATGGAGCCCACCTCGCTGGTCGAGTGTATGAAAACGAACACCGAGAACAGGACCATATAAACCCAAAAGTTACTGCACTCGAGCTCGCAGTAACCGATCGTCGCGGTGCTTGCCGTTTCCGGTGTTGTCAGATTCGAACCGATACACTGGCAGTTGTAAAACTGTAAAAAAGAAATCGCGGGAACATCGCGTTGTTAAGATATGCCCATGTCTTTTTTCTTTTTGCATACACTCGATGCAACTACCGTCGCGTTTCCCCTCCTACATACGAGAATTCGTGCGTGCGAATCTTGCGTGGTTGGATTTTTACACGTCGGTTATTCCAACGCGTTTATCGATCGGTTTATGTTGCGTTTCGAATAGGTAGGTTTTTTTTTTTAAAAACGTGCCATCTTCGAGGCGAACGAAACGTGAACGAGAGAATTTGGAATACATATATATGTGTTGTGTGTGTGTGTGTGTGTGTATACCTCGTAACAGTTTGCACGAGGACACGCGCACATTTCGTTAATCCCCGCGAAATCCGAACAATTGGAAATTGAAATGTTCGCGATAAGGCAATGTTTCAATTGCGAAACTAATGACTTGCTTGGTTGCGCAATCAATGAGGCATTGTTTCGTTCGAATAATGCGATTTCCTTCGCAAATGGCCGAGCAAACGACACATTTCTGGCCTGGTTGCATGCTACTGTCACCGATAATTACGATCGAGCATCAGCCTCGTGTATATCGATATTCTCTCTTTCGATGATGACGTCAGTGGCGTCCGCATGGGGATCGCATGCAATCAGCGCGAGAAAACGATTATTCGATTCGAATCACGGAGACGTGGTGATCGACGATCAAACGATGAAGTCGATTTTCGAAATTTCGCATCGAGTTTTACCCGTTTCTCTTAGATCGTTGGAACTAACAATTGCGTGTTAATGCATCGAAAACGTTCTCTCTTTTTCCCTTTTTTTCTTTTTTTTTTTTCCCACACCCCGTAACGGATCCTCTCGAGAAGATCTCGCGACAACGATCAATATCTGCGTGGTACTCACCGACGCAACTTTGCCATCGACGATCGTGTAATTGGAGCAGCCCGCGTGACACGCGGAAAAATACGTTTTACCATCGGCACCGCAAATCGGACTGAACTTGTTCCGAACGCAGTCGCAGGTAGCCTCGCAGGTCGGCTCGAAGCTGGACAATCTAGAAAGATTTATCGTTGTCATCTTTTTCTGTCTCCTTCTTCCTTCCCTCCCCCTCCATTCTTTCGAAATCTATCCTCTATTGGAGAAGGGAGGCGAGGGAATCGAGTCGAAATTTTTTAACAACGACTTTTTTACTTTCGATGGATGGGATCAAATATATATATAAGAGAAAATCTTACCCGTCAGAATGGGAAACTAGACCAGCGAAATCGTCCATAGGGCAACCGATGAACATGAGCACACCCATGCCGATCGCGTATATTACAGCTGTGAAGGCGATCCAGGCTGCGACGAACCTGGCGTTAGGCTTTGCCCTCAGGATGAACACTCCGCTAATTATAATACCCAAACCCATTACTAAAATACCACCGACACCTGCGAAAAAACAGAGTACAATCGTCAAATCGCCCCTTCCGTTTCCCTCGTTATTCAATCTAATCTAGATTTCCAATTTCGAAAATAAAATATCGCGTCTCTCTTCTTCGATTCGAAAGGAAGGGAGGAAGGAAAGAAAAGGAGAAAAAGAATTGGAGAAGGAACGTCGAAGGATACGTTCTTGATGGAGGAAAAAAGAGAGAAAGAGGGAGACGGGGAGGGGAGAAGAATCGGGGCGAGAAACGTTTGCTCGCGTGTCTATTGGCGAAAATTACCTGAGATCATGTTCGCATGATGAGCTGGCAAGCGAAATTGGCTCTCGAGGTACTTTGGCAGGAAGGTGTAGAGGCCGGCGATCGGTAGGATGTGCAGCACGCTGCTGGCCGTCCGGAACATAAGAATGTCGTTCTTCAACAGCCTCTTCACCGCTTTAGGGAAGTCTGCAACAGGTAGAGGAGAAGGCGACGTGTAGCGAGCGCATCGAGTCGTGCAGGCGACGCGAGCTGTGCATCGCGACCTGCAGCGAAACCATTTACATGAAATTTATTCCTCGTCTTTTTTTGCCCCCCCCCCCCGCTCCCCCTCTTCCTCCTCCCGATCCTCTTTGTCTCGTCCCCTCCCCTCTCCTCCTCCTCTTTTTTATCTTACTTTTTTTTTACTTCTGCAGATCGTTCCTTAAAAGTCGCGAAAATAATTCATCAACTTTTTTTTTTCTTCCACTTCCAACTTTTGCGTCCTTGTCGCGTGTACGCGAGTGAGAAGAAAGGAAAAGAAAGAAAAAAGAAAAAGAAAAAGAAGAACGGCGAAGAATTCGAGGAAATAAATATTTAATTTCTTTTTATCCTCGGCTAACTTTTTATCCCTCCCCGCGTTCTTTCCTCTCTCGAAATCCTTCGTTCGAATCCAAATGGACGAAATCGCTTGAGCGGAACACGGATTTTTTTTCCCCCATTTATGAAGTCAATTACGAGCGACGGGCTAATTACCAGACGATCGAGTTTCCCCTCGTTCTATTTTCGAAGGCGAAACGATGAAGCGAAAGGAGAACGCGGAGAGAGTCAGGGATTGCAGCGGTGCAATCGCCTCCAGCTCGAAAAACGAGAAACGGATGAGAAGAAGGAAGCGCGGCGTCGATACTTGCACCGAGTGGGAGAAAAATGTGGACCGATCTTCTCCGCTATCGAAATAAAAGTTTTCGCGAGAGACGCGCGAAATTCTTTTGAATAACTCTATATCCATCTCGATCATTCGTTCGAGTTTCGAGGTAATCGCGTATCATATCCATCATGGATGAAACAATCTTCGCGAATAACTGTCCAATCTTCGTTACGATTAATTCGTATTATCGAATTTAATCTCTCTCCCTCTCCCTCTCTCGCAAAACTTCATCAAAACGCAAAACGCATCAGCGGAGCAAGTATAGAAAGAGATCGTTCGCCGTAAGAGATTCTACTTTTGCACGAATTAATGTGATTCGAATTTCCGGAATACTCGAAACGAAGGAGAAGGAACGTTTCGATAACGTTTAATTTCGTCGAGTCGAGTCGAATTGCAAAAAAGAAAAAGAAGAACGGCGAAGAATTCGAGGAAATAAATATTTAATTCTTTTTATCCTCGGCTAACTTTTTATCCCTCCCCGCGTTCTTTCCTCTCTCGAAATCCTTCGTTCGAATCCAAATGGACGAAATCGCTTGAGCGGAACACGGATTTTTTTTCCCCCATTTATGAAGTCAATTACGAGCGACGGGCTAATTACCAGACGATCGAGTTTCCCCTCGTTCTATTTTCGAAGGCGAAACGATGAAGCGAAAGGAGAACGCGGAGAGAGTCAGGGATTGCAGCGGTGCAATCGCCTCCAGCTCGAAAAACGAGAAACGGATGAGAAGAAGGAAGCGCGGCGTCGATACTTGCACCGAGTGGGAGAAAAATGTGGACCGATCTTCTCCGCTATCGAAATAAAAGTTTTCGCGAGAGACGCGCGAAATTCTTTTGAATAACTCTATATCCATCTCGATCATTCGTTCGAGTTTCGAGGTAATCGCGTATCATATCCATCATGGATGAAACAATCTTCGCGAATAACTGTCCAATCTTCGTTACGATTAATTCGTATTATCGAATTTAATCCCTCTCCCTCTCCCTCTCTCGCAAAACTTCATCAAAACGAAAAACGCATCAGCGGAGCAAGTATAGAAAGAGATCGTTCGCCGTAAGAGATTCTACTTTTGCACGAATTAATGTGATTCGAATTTCCGGAATACTCGAAACGAAGGAGAAAGAACGTTTCGATAACGTTTAATTCGTCGAGTCGAATCGAATTGCAAAATTGCGTACGGGTGAAATGATAAAGAGAGGAAGAGAAAGAGGACGTGGCGCATCGATTTTCGAGCAATGGCAAAAAAGGCGAATTCCTGCATGGGACGAGGGACGAAGGAGGGGGGAAAGGGAAAGGAGCGGAAAAAGAACGAGAAGAGAGAGAGAGAGAGAGAGAGAGATGTACGATGAGGCGTTCGTTGGTTCGTTCGTGCGAGGTTTCTGTTCGAGAAACCCTCGGTGGAAACTGACATTAAGGATGCCTAGGACTGCTCTAGGCTTCCAGGAAGGCCGGGCTAGAGTCGTGGCAACCCCGCATAGAGAAGTCCTGCAGACCATGAGTAGACAAACGTGACTAACATTGCGCTCCGTGTATTATCGCGACAACCCTGCATCGGCCACATACAGGGTGGCTTCGAATCATCGAAAAACCTCCTCCAAACTTCTCCGGATCAGCGCGTAAGGAAAAAAGAAAAAAAAAAAAACGCGAAGAAATTCGCGTGGAAAATCATCGATCGAGAAACACACACACACAACGATATATATATATATATATATATCGTACTCGATGAAATTACGACAACGATAAGAGATAAATAGGGACGGATTTATCGAGACAGGATCGATACAGCTGGTTATATAAAGTCGAAAGAATGAAGTCTTCAAAGGGGGGCCGAGTAGTAGAAGCGAGTAATACGAGAATCGCGTGCATCCGTCCAATTCCGTCCTGTCCTCCGAGGCGATCTTTTCCACCATCTTCTCCGATACAACGCGCGCAAATTTCTAACGCGTTCACGATATCCTCCCGAGCGTGTACCGCTCGTCCTACCTTTCGTGCATAGACGGAATCCCGTTTCCAAAATTTCGTGACGGATCGGTGGCCGTCGGTGGCGTCGAAGGCGGGAACAAGGCAAATTAATTTCGATGTTTTTCGTATTCGGTTTCTGGAGATTGCCGGCAAAAATTCGAGTTTCGAAAGGCTGGAAACGTATTCCGGATTTCTCGTCTCTCCGGTGTGCACGTAGGAGTAAAGGATCGGCGTCCGTTCGCGTGTGTGCGTGCGCGCGCGCGTGTACGCGGCGGGCCCCGTGTGTGCGTTAATAATGATGACTGACCGACTGGTGCACTAGGTGGGGCAAGTTCACGGTCATGCGTCGTGCATAGCGCTCGGTAGGCACACGCGCGCGCGTGCATTTCTGCGCGCGTATACACGGCCCTGTTTCTCCCTTACCCGCGTGTGGATTTGTTCTTCTTGCGGGGAGAGGACTTATCTCAGCTGTCTCGTGCACCTCGACATAACACGACCGACCTAACGCACCAGAAATGCGCGCCATACCTCCCTCCCTCCCTCCCTTCTCCTCCTCTCTCTCTCTCTCGCTCGCTCGCTCGCTCCTTCTCCTTTAAATCTCCTCCTCCTCCTCCTCCTCCTCCTCCTCGCGTGATCCACGACCCCGCGGGGAAATTATCCTCCTGTTGGCCGGATGCACGGACTCGGTTTTTGGCCCATTGGCATCGGTATCCACGCGAAAACACGGGCAATTTGCTTCCCAATTCGCTATCATTAGCCGAATTGGATTTTCAACGAATTACGGGAGAATGCACGCGTACGTTTCTTTTCTTCGCGTGATTCACGAACTGAATTTAAATATTTCTTCCTTCAGCGAGGTTAAGTAATTTAACGAGATTTCTCCTTTTTTCGATATGTGGATAATTAGCGAGAGGAGTTATTCTCAAGTAATCGCGTCCCTACGATGGAGAAGAGCGCGTGGTACAGCGGGACGTGCAAGTTGCGGTTATCGATGCGACTCGTGCCGCATTTTGAACAGGCTGCTTGTTCTTTCAGGAGCAAACATTCCGAAACATTGTCGGTCAAGGGCGAAAAAGTATGGAGAAGTAAGATCGATCCAAGTGGCCACCAAGTTTATTCAATTTCCCGTTCCCCTCGCCTTCTTCTCGTTGACAAAAGGAATGCCTTTTTTTTTTTTTTTCGAACAACAAATTGAATTCGTTTCTCGACTCGGTCGAATCTTCCATCTTCCTCTCGATCCCCCTTCTCCTCGAGAAACAGATGTTTCGCGAAAAGTTTCAACGAAGCGGATCGAGAATAAACGCAACAAGGCTCGATCCTAGGCGGGAAGGGGTTCCCAGAAAAGGGCTCGACCGTGTTTCAGAAAGCAACGAGGGGCGAGGAGCGCTCACGATCGAACGAGCAGACACGTCGGCCGAGCCTGTGCGAGCCTAAATTTCGCCATTGACCTTCACTGCCAAGTTCACGCTTCAAAGATCATCTTATTGGCCCGCGTCCTTTCCTCCCGATAAACGTCCACCGAATATATAATAAAAACCCTCCACGCCAATCACAATGCGACTGTACAGATATTCCACGTATAAGATCGCGCCGATACGAACGATTATCGATCATCGATTAACCGACACGAGTGAAGGAACAATAATGAGAGAATCTTCTTCTCTTCCTTTCGTTTCATTCCCGTTTTCGAAATACGGGATGCAAATTCGAAAGGTTCGAACAGAATCGAGCCGGATGTGCAACGCGCGAGGAGAGGGTTGCGATTAATAGACAGTTTCGGGGCGATGATACTTTTATTCCCGTCCGTTCGATCTCTCTCTCTCTCTCTCTCTCTCTCTCTGTCTCCCCCCGGCCAATTTTGAAGCGGGTAGAGAAGGGAGGAGGAGGAGAAGCCATAAAATCGAATTAAATCGCCGTGATCGGACGTGGCCGGGGCTTAAACACCGCCCTATCCAATTCGCGTCGCCGCGATAAATCAAGCGCTTACCTCGGAGACTAGGCTTTTTCGCGTCGGCCCGTTTCGGCGGTGTCCTGCTCGCGGGCAACCGCGTCGGGAACGCGAACATCCCTATGCTCACCAACATCAGCATCGCGGCTATCAGCACCAAACCTGAAACGTTCGAAGTTTTTCCTCGAATCTCGTTCCCGGGATTTTGATGACTTTAACCCTTTCTCTACCACTGCGAGCTACTATTGTAGTCGCTCGAGTATATCTTTCTCGATATTTTTGATGCGTAGCGAAAGGGTTAAGTTAAGAAGAACAACTTTCAGCTCAGAGAGAAGGGAAGGAGAAAGGGAGGAAGGGGTGGGGGGTGGGTAAGAATTGTACGTACGTAAGATGTAATAAGAAGGAGAAATTTCAATTTACCAAGCCACCATGCCCCGACCCATCTCGGATCCGTCGGCGTGATTTGCGGATTCGCCGACAAATCCGCGTAAATCATGGTGCACAACGAGCCCAGAATGAAGCCCAGGGCTGGACCGAGGATCCTCACTCCGATCGTGATCGCTGCAACAAAGTACGGGGGCAACACGTGTTGTTCCGTGAGTATGCAAATTCTCTCGTGCGTAACATTGAAATTCCGCGCGACAACGCGACGAACAATCATGAATCAAAGTAATCGAAGTGAAAGATCTCGCGTTCGCCTCCCCTCGGTTCCGAGCAAACAGCTTTCGCGAAGCATCTTCAAACTTCGAAACCCTGCCCGTTCGCCCCCTTTGTCCCCCTTTCTTTATAATAGAAACGAAGGGATTCGTATTCTTACCGAAATAGAGCGGGCTCTCTCTGCTGGCCACATTGTCATCGATGTAGGGGATACCGAGGGTGTAGACCGCCGTCTGACCCATTCCAACGCCCAACAAGGAGACGAAAAATATCGCCAGGACCACCGTCGTTATTTTGCTCTGTATCCTCTGCTCCGTCAACGAGTCGCCTTTGCAGTCGTTCATCGCGTGCATTTGAGTCGTGGACGTGATCCAGCTTCAGAGAACAACAAAAAAAAAAAAAAAAAAGAAGAAATGTCAAATCAGTGTAGGTCAATCGTTCAGGGATCGATTCGAATTCTTTTTTCTTTTTTTTTTTCTTTTCAAACGACGACAACTGCGTCTGTAATTTTTCCCCTTTTGTTATTATTTATAAACCTGAGATATCTAACGTATTAAAAAGAAAAAAGGTATACGATCGATACATCGTGGAACGAAGGAGGGAAGGTGAAGAGAGAGATTGCACGGGTTGCACGAAAATTGCAACACGATTTCGAAAGGGGGGAGGGGAGGAGGTGTCTATCGTTCGAATCGATCGGAGAATTTAAAAAAAAAAAATAATATATATATATATACGATGGAGAAATCTGGATGGAAAATTGGAAGAAATTATCTTTAACGAAGATGATTATTTACCCGTCGAGCGTGGAGTTTTCCGATCGTTCCTGCAATTTGCAGAGGTTGGCAGGAATCGGATGGGTGTTGTTCGGGTCACCACCCTCGACCCCGCTGAGAAACATCTCGTTCTGATGGATCAGCTGTTCACCGAAGATGAAATGGGGCATGGAGCAGGTGAACGAGCTCACCGCGAACAGGATCATGCCCCAAGCGATCCACTTAGGCCGGTGACCTTGGCCCCCGTAATACGTAAGCAGGAGAGAGGAGCCGATCTGCCCGATCTCCGTCGCTGACATTATAATACCGGTGGTCTTCGACTGAATCTGGAACAGCTTCTCGATCGTCGTGATCACCGAGACGAAGTACGTGTAGTACATTCCCTGAAGAACCTGTAAAGAGCCACCATCTTGACGATAAATATTTATATCGCTACGCTAACTGAAAAAAGTCGCCGCTATAAATAAATTCTTGGGACGAAGAAATTTTTACGAAAGAAAATCGTTACGAGAAAAATAAAATAGAGAAAGGTAAAGATGTTCTCCAACCTTTTTCTCGGGGCGCGACGCGACACTCTTTTCTTATTTTATTCCATACTGGAATTATTATAGATCTTATTATAGCGATTCGTTCGAAAGATTAAGGGTAGAAAAGAAAAAGGCTGGGGAGGATCTATTCACTCTTCTAGACGATTCTCGATCGAAACGAAAAGCTAACCCAAACCAACCCAGGTGATGCAGAAGGTGACCAGGAAGGCCTGCTTCGTGGCGAAATATTGAAGCCAGTGCGGCCTGCACGGGCCCCATCCGCAAGACACATCGGCATCATCGAACTCCGTGTGAAGGCTGCTCGACTTCTCGTCGGACATGATCAATTTCCCATTTTCCGCCGCCGTTATTTCGTGCAACTTTCCATTAGGTATCGATCCATTGTTGTTGTGCTGCTTCCCGCAGATCAGCCCGTTCCCGTTCGCCATTTTCGGTGGAATTATCGTGAGCGCCTCCACGTTTCCGTTCGCCAGGATTTGCGTGTCTTCGCCCGCCATTGTATCTCGATTATTATCGACCCCGTTAATCCCTCTCTCTCTCTCTCTCTCTCTCTGTCCTCCTCTCAGCAGCTCTTTTCACTCTCTAACCGGGATTCTTCCTCGTGGGAGGATCCTCTCGACCGCTCAAACGACTTCCATTCGAACGGTCAACCTGCGAAAAATACAAAAAAATTGTCGTTCGATCAGTTTAGCCGATGATGAATCGTTCGCGCGATGGGTATCTTCGACTCGAAGGAACCTCGCCACCGCTTCGTTCATTTCGACGAAATCGGCCGAGATCGGGAATAAATTAAATAAATAACATTCTTGGTTTTCACGCGTCCAACAATTCAATACGATGCCGATGACATGTGATTATTACACAATATTCGAGGAATTTCAGTAAGGAAATGATGTCCAAGATGGTGTTGAGGAGTTCTTTCTTTTTCTTTTTCTTTTTCTTTTTTTTTTTTCCTTATCTGATTTTTATCCGTTGTTGTATCGGTTTTTTAAAGGTCGGTTACGTAATCATCTCTGCGGCGGCGATCGTCGAGGGAGGGGGGAAGGGGAAAAAAAGATAGCCGAAAAGTGTCCAGGAATAAATCGTCAAACTCGCGGTCGCTATTTATCATCCGTTCGAAACGAGATGCACTTTGTATTTTTGAATAACTAAGTTGCGTACGTCACGGTATTATTTATAACAACGGCCTCTCCGCTGTGTCCGTTGTGTCTCTGCGAAATCGCGATTAGCATTGTGTCCCCCCACGGTATGTAATGAAATTCCCCGCCATCTTTTTTCAAATCTTTGCCAACCAAGAGAAAAAAAATATTCTTAATATATATTAAAAAAGAAAGAAAGAAAGAAAGAAAAAGTCCCCCGCGAAATTGTGAATTTCGAGTAAAAGTGAACTTTCTATGAAACAATAGCGGAATTCCTCGATATTAATAATATTATTTAGAAAGTGATCGCAAGCAGATACGATTGAATTTTCAATTGGAAGGACGAAGAAAAGAAGGAAACGGATAGAGATCCTTTCTCTTCGCACGGTGGAAAGGAAACGAGAAGGTTGAAACGGCCTGTAGCCGGTGTCCTCTCACTTTCATCGGTGCCCGACTTTTCTCATTTCCCTCGCGTTCCATTGCACCGACTATCCTATCGATGCGGTTTTCACTGACAGCGAGTAGGAGTCTGCGGACTGGAACTCGCGTCTACCTACACACCGGGTGCCCCGAAAGTAACAATTTCTTAACAATTTCTCCACTCTCTCTCTCTCTCTCTCTCTCGAACGAACGAACGAACGAACGCGAACGAACAAAGTTTAAAGTGGAGAAGAAGAAGAAGAAGAAGAAGAAAAAAGAAAGGAAAAATCCTTGAACTACCGCTACTCGTTAATCGTGGTCAGGATATTTTATTTTCGCGAAAACGAAAGAAGAAGAGAGAGAGAGAGAGAGGAGGCGAGGATCGAGAAACGATTTCGTTAACGATCGAAATGATTCAAGAGGCAAAGAAACTTCCTGTCGAATGGCCCCGCGCATGATAATAAAACTGTTCGGAATGGCGCACGAGCGGATTTTATTTCGACGTTAATTGGCCACGCGCGGTAACCGACCTCCGAAAACCCTGTCCAAGAATACGAATGTGTTTACGGTGCAGCGTCGTTTCGCCGCGCCATTGACCCGTTAATGTTTTAAACGTCGCGCGTCTGCCTTGGATAGGTGTATACACCTTGGTGTATGTATCTCTCGCCGCACGTGTCGAGGGAACAATCTTCCGTAAATCCATTAACTCGTCCAATACCGGGCTCGCAACGCCGAGGGTATTTCGCGATTTCCGTCAACCAATGGACAATTCTCTGTTCCACGCGTGTTTCTAATCGAATTCAACGGTTGATTTTACGACCCCAGAGGTCTTCAACGTGTAACCTTGACGTCTAATCCCATGCAGGAAGTGGTCGAACGATAAATCACGCGTTTCTTTAAGCGCGGCGACCGCTGTTTGATGGAAATGGAAGAAAAAAAAAAAAAAAGAAAAAAAAAGAAAAAAAAAAAGAAGAAAAAAGGAGAGGAAAAAAAGAAAAAAAAAAAGTTTAATTATTGTCATTAACGTTGTTTTGACGTGGATCTGTTTCCGGAACAGGTTAACTCCGTTCCAGGAACGAGGCCTTCGTACGGGTTCCACGTTTCGGATTGTCTCTTTAATCTCCTTCTAAAATCCTCCGTCGTTAATTCCCCCGGCCGAGATTGCCTCGATCTTTGAACCCTGTTATATACGTTCCCAACGTATGGACGAGAACAATATCTAGCGAGGAATCCATTCGTGACAAATCGACATAAACTTTGATGGCTTGAGTCATTAAAATTTTAAGCAAGCATGAGGAAGAGAAATCCTTCTATCCTCTGCTATATATAAAGTAAAAATCTCCCTGTTCCGAAGCGAGAACATTTATTATTTATCCGCTCGATTGGAAAAACGTTATCGAGCAAAAATTAGGGGGGGGGGAAGGGAGGGAAGGAATCGTGCCACCGTGGTTTCGGTCAACCGAAAGAGTTTCGATCCAACTTTCCTTTCGTTTAAGGAGGGCAATGTCGGTACAACACGCGGCATCCTCGGCTTCGAGATCGGAACGAAATCGAAAGGGCGGCCTCCTTCCAACGGAGGGCGAGGGGGGAGGAGAGAGAGAGAGGAAGACCGGTGTCCCGATTCTCTCTCACCTTCCTCTCTCCACACCTAAACTCTTCTCGCACGCGCCACTTTTCCCTTCTTGCCCCCGAATCCTAAATATCCTTTTCGGATATTCGTACACGACTTCGAAAAATCCACCCTTTCCCCCGTCCTCTTCTCCCCACGAATCTCGAGTATTAATATTTATCCACGTAACGATAACTCGAAGAGAACGTTCCATTCGGGATGTTATTTTAAACGAAAAACGGTTTATTTATCAGCAACGGCGGCGCTCGAATCGAGGATAATTTTAGGAGCGGCTATTCGACTCGCTTCTTCGACTCTCTGTCTCAAGTTTACAAGAAGATTTATATCTAATGAAAAAAAAAAAACGATGGAAAAAGATCCGTGGAAACTTGTAACCGTTTGCGCGTTTCCCCTGTTGGGAAACTCTTTCTATCCCTCTCTCGCTCTCTAAAAAGTAAAAATTCCTTCGAGGAATCGAAATCGATGGTCGCGTCGCGAGCATCTCGCGCGACCAATTAGCAATTCCTCTCCCATTGTGATTTCGTTCAGGAGGATTTCGTACGACTCCCGTGGAACCAGGTATGATGCAACGAGAAAAGAAATTTCCGGTAATAAATTGCCGTATGGTATGTTGCCGTAGGCTTGAATGGGGGACTCAAATATCTCGTAAGAGTTGTTGCTGGGAGCCCACGTGCGTGCCTCGCCGCGACGAAACGAGCCTGCTCACTTATTATTTATACATTATTCGATTATCCATCTTCCAACATCTATATATATATATATTCGAAAACAGAATATTCGAAATTCAATTTACTTCGATACTTCCAACATTCGACTCGTACTTAGAGAGAGACTCGTCCTTAACCCTCTAATAAAACTGGCTGTACAACTAACAAGACGAGTGCGTGAGTTTGCCCTCAATAAATTCGTCCCTCGATGAATTATGTAAACCTATCCCCTCCCTCCTCTAACGATAATGATAATGATAATAATAATAATAATAATAATAACAACAACAACGAAAAACAGTGGTAGATTCGCATGCGAAACAAGTGCACGGATGGTTGGATCGTTGAGCGTTGGGGCAATTGTCGCAACTTGTCCCAATTTCCCGTTGATCGGGTCAGAAAGATCGGCTCGCCTCCGGAGATGCAATACACGAACACATTGGGGCGAGGATCGGGGCTCACGTATACGTATACACGTGCACGAAAACATCGGCGTTCCTTCGTCAAGTTCCAGCAGCAGCGTTGCGCCGCCGGAGAGACTTGGTCTAGGTCGCCTTTCACTGTCCTACTGACGTCTCGTGGTTAGTTGGTTAGTTGCTCTATTCTACTACGACTACAACTCAATGCCAGCACAGCGTGTGCACGTTGTCGTACAGAGCGACCCAAAAGAGAGACTACCGGCTTGGAAGGCCGTGCACGTGATCGAACGTGGAGGCAAGAAAAAGAAAAAAAAGAAAAAAAGGAAAAAGAAAATCTTCCATTCGTCGTCGAGAGAGGTAAATCGCGCCACGAAAAAACGTTCCTTCCATTCGTGTCGTCCGATCCAAATCCATCCAAATATTGCGCAAAGAAAATACAATGTTCGCGACAGGTTGTCGATCGTTTTATAACGGATAAAATAGACCGAAGCAAAAGGAACGAGTTTCGAAGAAGGTTTGAGGGGAGAAAAGGATGGACGAAACCCCCGTCTCGTCGGCCTTTGCGCAATCGACAATGCCGCGTGTCTTTTTTGCTACCTTTTCACGCTCAATTTCCCCTTTTTGAAGTCGCCTTTATTAAAGTCATTTCGACCGATCGTTCGATACCTTTCTACGTCTACGATAGAACCGTATTTCCCTCTTCGTCGCGGGAAAATACGATCGATCGTTCCAACGATCGATGGATGATGGAACAGAAGGGAGGAATATCGCGTCACTCGATTTATATCGACGGGACGAGTCGAACGATGTTGTGTATTTGTACAAAAAAGAAAAAAAAAAAAAAAAAAGAAGGGGCAAAATCTGTTTATCTATATTTCTCTTCCACGATCCACCCGATTTCGTTATTATTATTTATTGTTCCGGAAAAGTAGCTGGAATTATTCTCGGAGCGTTCTCCACGCGTCGCTCCGTATACACGTGAACGTAAACCAGATTCAAGATCAGGTTCAACAAGTTTGCTGGGAACATCAAAGTAGAATATAAATCTCGCTGCTTTCCACTTACTTTCTTGAGGGCAATTGCAAAGATTTGCGACACGCGTTTGCGATCGAAAGTGAATCGGCCGATAAGTGGGAAACTGCTTTCGTCGGCGAGGCCTCGTTTAATCTTCCACGCTCAAATTACACGCTTTTTACACGTTGTACGAGTCGTGGAAAATTCAAATTATTATTACGTCGTTCGTTCTCTCGATCGAGGAAAAAGGGCGCGGAGACGGAGATTCGGATCGGAGATACGCCGCAGAATTGACCGTTAATCTTCTCAGCTTCTCGTAACA